CGCGGCGAGCAGCGGCGAGCTCAGCTTCAGCCTGCGCACTAACGCCACGCGCGCGCTGTTGCTCTACCTGGACGACGGCGGCGACTGCGACTTCCTGGAGCTGCTGCTGGTGGACGGGCGCCTGCGGCTGCGCTTCACGCTGTCTTGCGCCGAGCCCGCCACGCTGCAGCTGGACACGCCGGTGGCCGACGACCGCTGGCACATGGTGCTGCTGACCCGCGACGCGCGGCGCACGGCGCTGGCGGTGGACGGCGAGGCCCGCGCCGCCGAGGTGCGCTCCAAGCGGCGCGAGATGCAGGTGGCCAGCGACCTGTTCGTGGGTGGCATCCCACCCGACGTGCGCTTGTCTGCGCTCACGCTCAGCACCGTCAAGTACGAGCCGCCTTTCCGCGGCCTCCTGGCCAACCTGAAGCTGGGCGAGCGGCCACCGGCTCTGCTGGGCAGCCAAGGCCTGCGCGGCGCCGCTGCCGACCCCCTGTGCGCTCCCGCACGCAATCCCTGCGCCAACGGCGGCCTCTGTACCGTGCTAGCCCCCGGCGAGGTGGGCTGCGATTGCAGCCATACTGGCTTCGGCGGCAAGTTCTGCAGTGAAGGTGAGTCCCGGCGCGGGAGCGAGATGGAGGGACGCGCGGGTCGGGTCCTGCTGGCCTGTGTTGGGGCGGGAGATGGAGGGAGAGCGCGCTCAGCCGTCCACGGCTGCGTGGCAGCGCCGGTGTTAGGGCCTAGGGAGCCCCGGCAAGTGCCTGAGGGCCGATGCTGCTCCCAGGTAAACCCGGAGGCCGGCGGTGTGGGCGTGGCCCGGGGCGTGGCCAGGGTGAGCGCTCACGCGACCTGTGCCTAAGGATCGGAAGGGATTGGTGGCTCGGGGCTGGTGAATGGATGGGAAGGTCTTGTGGGTGGGGCCTGGGCAGGCCGTGCCTGTAGGGGGACCTGTAACTCGGGCGGGGCCTTGTGTGGCTTAAGGCAGAGTTGGTGGCCCGGTTGGGGACGTCCGAGTGGGCAGGGCCTCTGAGGGGCTGGGATTTGCTGGCTGTAGCCACTGTCTTGTAAGAAAGGTTAATCTGTGAGGCCTGGACAGAAATCCGCGTGAGGACCTACACCAGAGGGCCGAAAGGGAGATGGGATAGAGATGCTGTGACCTAAGAAGCCAGGAGGACGGGAATAATGCATCTCCTCTGTCATAGAGTCTCCAGAGTTGCTACAGCCGGTGGCTGAGGTTCCTGACTAAAAGTTGACCTTTTTGGTGATGGGCCAGGATGGCAGGCAGTCTCTCCCAGGTGCGAGACTGGAGGCGAGACTTATGTCTCCCAACACGGAAGCCTTTTTCAGCTTCAGGCTGGGATGAGATTATAGGACTAGATAAGGCTAGGAGGTGGGACAGAATTTGGAATGGGGCCTCTTCCAGCACCCCAGTTTGTAAGAGAGGTGTGCCTGACCGAGCTCATTGACAGGAGAAAGAAAGGAGGTTGGATTGAGGGCAGCTAGTCTGTGCTTTAGAGGGATGAAGGAAGGGGCCACTTTTATTTTGGTGTGACTGAGTGGTCAGAGGAAAGATTTTTCTCCATTGACTTGGGGGTGGCAGCTCATTGCCCAGCAGGTGTGTGCAGTAACATTTGTTTTTGTCTCTACTTGCTTGGGGGCTGCTTTGCAATTTGTGTGTGTGTGTGTGTGTGTGTGTGTGTGTGTGTGTGTGTGTGTATGTGTGTGTGTGTGTGTGTGTGTGCATCTTCAAGGAGGTGGAGTCTTTGAGGGAGTGTGTGTCCACAAACTAGTGTGGCCCTGGGAATGGTGTCCCAAAGCTGTGTGCATGTGGTCAACCTCCGGAGGAGTCAAGTCTGTAGACGTAGCCCTGTGTATGGGAAGTCTGCTCTTCAGCATTTTGACTGTGTAATTCTAACTATGGTAGATGAATAGGAGGGAGCCAGGTGGGATGGTGCACAGGCATAATCCCAGCATTTGAGAAGTAGAGGGCAAGGGGATCAGGAGCTTCAAGTCATCCTCAGCTACATAGTGACTTCGGGTGACAGCCTGGGCTACGTGAGACGCTGTCTCAAAACAAAACAAAACAAGCAAGCAAACGGAAAACCTAAGGAAGGGCTTTGGATTGTTTTGTTGGGTGGTGTTCTGGGATTCATCTTCAGGAACTGAGTGTATTAACATGGCACCTTCTCGGCTTTTCTCCAAGGAGCTCAGGCGCTCCCTAAACTGTGAAACTGTGCAGAGGCCCGCGAGTCTGCCAGTATGTTTTGGGTGCCTATGTGTGAATGGGTCTGTTTGCGTTGTTCTTACTGACTGGAGACCAGTGCCTTGCAGAGCGACTAGAAGACAGCTGTAAGGGTTTGCACCCACGTACAGGTTCCGATGTGTGCGTTTCACTGAGAGACCTCAATAAGACGTTTCGAACTTACGAGACATTTCCAGAACCTTAACTTTATCCTCCAGTTCCTATAACCAACGCCCCACCTCTACCCCACAGCCTTCCTAAGAAAACAGGATGAACCATCTTTCTAATTCAAGGGAGGGGAAATTGGAGCTATGAAGAGGTTGTGGTAACTGTGTTTTGATCCTACTGTGGTAGAATTGGGCGTAGGTATATGAGAATCACATTCAGAGGCATCTTGGTCAACCCATTCTCTGAAAGCATGTATCCACCAGAGGCCTCCTGTGAACTAAGTGTGTGCTCCCGGAAGGGGGTTGTGTGATGATGTTGTCTAAGACACAGTGAAGTTTTTGTGTGTGAGAGGCATGGCTTTATCGAGTGGGTATGCTAGAGTCACATGGATGTTTGGGTCAGCTGAGCAGAGGGAGACGGTTATGTGCATCTGACCCACTGTGTGACAGCTGGCAGAGGCAGGGGTTCCTGTGTGGATGTGGTGTCTAGACACCTCTGTGTGTGATCTGTGGAGAGAGAGATGTGCTTTGTCTGTTAAAGGGCAGGATGTGTCTGTGTTCTCCGCACCGAATATAGTACTCAGCAGCTAGTGGGTGTTTGATTAAGACTCGGGAATGAATGGAGGGATGTTAATAAGTATTTGAGAGAATGAAGGCTTGAAGTTAAGCCACATGGGCTCTTGAAAACTCGCATGTGCATGTTTTGGGAACTGTGCTGTGGGTGGTCATGGGGTGGAAGACACTGACTGCACCTTAAGCTGACAGGTGTGGCAAGACCACCCCCTCCTCTTTCCACGTCCTGCCTTATTTATTTTCCTTGTGTTTGTTCCTGAGTCCCTAAGCAGCTTCCCCCTGCCCTCAGGGACGGGGTTTCTCTGTATGGAGCTCATTCTGTAGACCAGGTTGGCCTCGAACTCACAGCGATCCGCCTGGCTCTGCCTCCGGAGTGCTGAGATTAAAGGCGTGCGCCACCACTGCCTGGCCAGCTTTTGTAATAAGCAGAGCCCATTCACTTCTTCCAGCAATTCCTGTGTCCGTGTGTGTCTGTGTGTGTCTGTGTGTGTCTGCGTGTGTCTGCGTGTGTTTGAGACACTCTTGCTGTGTAGCCCAGGCTGGCCTCAAACATGATGATTTTCCCACTAGCACTCTGGAAGTGCTAGGATTGTAGGTGTGTGCCATCCTGTCAGGCTGTCCTCCAAGACACCCCCAGGGGTGTCAGAAACAACATCTAGCAGAATCTGCTTCTTTTTTTAAAACATTAAAATTTTGTTTATCATTAGTGGGTGTGTGTATCTGTACAGGTGCACATAGACCACAGCATACATGTGGAGGTCAGAGAACAACTTTGTGGCGTTGGTTCTCTCCTTCCACTTTCCCATGGCTTCTGGAGATCACGCTCCGATCATCAGGCGTGGGTGGCAAGCACCATTATCTCACACGGGTATGTGTGAGTACCTGCATGTATGCATGTGCGCCGTGTACATGCCTGGTGCCCTTGGAGGCCAAGGAGTGTGTCAGATCCCCGAGAGCTGGAGTTCCAGAAGATTGTGAGTGAGGCTGGGAACCAAACCCGGTCTTCTGGAAGAGCAGTAACTACTCCTAACCATCTAACCATCCAACTCCACTGACCCATCTCCCCAAACCTACATTTTAATTAAAAAAGTTACTCCTCTTATTTATTTATCTTGTGTGTGGGTACTCACGCCGCAGCATGCTTGTGGAGGTCAGAGCACAGCCTTCATGGGTTGTTTCTCTCCTCCCACCGTGTAGGTCCCAGGGATGGAACTCAGGTCACCAGGTTTGGCAACAAGCACCTTTATCCACCAAGGCATTCTTCTGGTCTTTCTAGTATATTCTTTTTTTTTTTTTTTTT